AGATCAAGATGCAAGCGGTTCTTACTCAATTGGATATGGATGATGCTTTGTTGGGGATGGATAGAACGCCCTCAAAAATGATTGCGGAGGGAAGCAACGCAAGGATCGGAAAGCCCTATCATATATACATGTTCATCTTTCTAATCAAATTCTTCGTGACAAGATAAATGAGAAAAAAATGTAATTGTGTTGTGGATAAAATTAGAGCAGTTTTGTATGAAAAAGATCTTGACAAATAAGTTACACTTGAAGCAACGCTTGACGGAAGGTGAATCTTTGGAAGTTCATCTATCGGCGTTCAAGGACATCGTCGTTGATTTAAAGACCATGGAGGTCAAATATGATGAAGAGGATTTAGGGCGATATTAATATGCTCGTTGCGCCTTCATATGTGATTTTTAGAGATATCTTTCTCCATAGTCGGGATACTCTCACTATTGACGTATTATATGATGCGCTTTATTTTAAGGAAAAGATGAAGCATCTGATCTTCGTTTTTGAGGCCAGTAAGAGGGTCTTGTTATTCGTGAGAAGAAGACAGCCTGTCATGGAAGGTACAGAGTCAAGGATAACAATAGTGATAATATGTTGGTTTTGCAACAAACAACAAGGGGCACATGAAGAAAAATTGCTATGAGTAGCGAAAAAGGTTTGATACTACAAATCATAAGGAAAAATTTAAAAATTTTGATAATATTAATGTTGCAGAAGAAAATAGTGATGGAGATCTTTTGTTGATTACTGAAAGTGACTCCAATCCTGACGAGGATTGGATTCTTGATTCGACTTGTACTTTTCATAAGTGTTCAAATCGAGATTGGTTTTCTTTATATAAAACAGTTATAGGGAGCTCTGTGATGATGAGAAATAATGAGCCTTGTAAAATAACTGTGATTGGTAATGTCAAAATCAAGATGTTTGATAGGATGGTTAGAACAATTAGCCAGGTTCGACATGTTCCGGGTATGAACAGGAATGTAATCTCTTTTAGTGCTTTTGATTTAAAAGGGTACAAGTATCAGTGGAGATGGGGATGGAGTTCTGAAAGTTTCCAAGGGTGCTCGAGTTGTGTAAGGAGACAGAGAAAGTTTAGTTTATATGTGTTAGAAGGTTCAACGGTCACTATGGATGCAGTTACTGCTTATGATTCAATAAACAATAACTCGGATAGAGTCGGTTGTGATCTAGTTGTTCGTAGTGGTTCGAAAAATAATACTGGGGAATCTTCAATAGATCATGTGGAGTTTATTGTGATATTTCTGATCATGTTGCTTGTGGTGATTCGAGCAGGTTTATTGACCGCGTTAGAGTTTGAAGTGAACGAGATGATTCAAGTAAGGATAGCAAGCAAGGTAGTTCTGCTGATAAGCAAGACTTTGATTTAGTTCACAGTTGTCGAGTATGCCCAGGGGCATGGTGTGTCCGACGGGGACATGAGGTGTTCGAGGGGACATGATGGAAGAATTGGAGAATGGCTTGAAGAGTGAAGACTTAATTCCTTGCTATGGAGCTCGTTTCAAGGTGGAGTTTGTTATGTTTTGTGACTCAAATTCCACGTGATTTGAAAGTTTGATTTATGGAAGAAACTTAGATAATTTTGGTTTAAAAGTTCGGTTTGATAAGGAATCAAATTTCATCATGGATTGAGAGTTCGATTGGGAAAATGACTTTAGAATTGATAAAAACATGTTTGGAATGTTTTGGAACTAAATCGGAGCATAAGGACGCAACGTCAACAACGTGAAAGAAAGAAGAAGGGCAGGCGCCCAAGCTTCGCATGTTTGATTTTGCTTCGCAATTTTGTGTTCTACTTCATCCACAACTCCAAGATTTGGCTCTTATAAACACTTCATAAGGTATAGGATCTTTAGAGACTCAACATAACAATTAAATCATTGCTTTATACATTAGAAACTTGAGAGAAT